CCAGCCTGGGGTACAAAGTGAGCTCAAGGCCAGCCTGAACTGCATAGCAAGACCCTGTCTCAAAAAGACAAAAAAAAAAAAAAAAAAACCAACAAAACACAACTGTTTGTAGAACCATAAGCCCCTCCCCCACGGTCAGTCTCCCTGTTGTCATCTCAGCAGTGAAATGTCAGACACCTGAGATCTGGTGGCTGCAGCCTAGGGGTTGAGAGTTTAACAGGAGGTGCCTCAAGAGGACTGGCGCTCTCTGGGGCGTGTACCTCAAGCTGGCAAACTGAGTGGGACTTAGCACCTCAGGATCTCTTGTTCCCATAAAACCAAGTAAGAAGACTCTCAGCCCTTTTGTAGTTTCAGGAAATTCTAGAAAAGGGTATTTTTGCCTAATATTTTGGTGAAGCACCAATCACTGAGAGCATAGTTCTCAAGGTGGTAGATGGTAGGGAACATATTTCAGTGGCTAGGAAATAAGATACAAGGCCAACCCTTTGCAAGTAGGACTTAAGAGTAAAGGAGCAAGGGGCTAGGCCAAAGTGAGGCATGGCCAGTAATCCCAATGTTCTGGGAGGCTGAGGCAGGAGGATCAAAAGTTCAAGGCCAGCCTGGGAGGCTGAGGCAGGAGGATCAAAAAGTGCAAGGCCAGCCTGGGCAGCTTCAGTGAGATCCCATCTCAAAATTTTCTTTAAAAAAATCAGGGGGTGGGGGACTGCCCCAGTACCAAAGAGGGGAAAAAGAGAACCTAAACCAGTATGAAACTGAACTGAAGGCGTACTGAGGTTAGGAGAGAGATACTGGGGGAAACTCTCCCACAAAGCTGAAGTTTCCCTGGCTGTGACAGCCCTTGTTCTGGAGGAGTTTCTCACTTCCTAATTGGAGTTCTAATTAGTGTAGCCTAGGGAAAGGCATATAATAAACCTTTTTTAAAGTGTCTTAAAGTATACTTGCCTCTTCACCATAAGAAGGGTTAGGAGCTGGCAGGTGGACCCCAGGCAGACGGCATGAGGCAGGGAGTGATTCTTGCTGTCTGCCAGATGAGAGGTCACAAACAGTGAAGCCAACAACGGAGAGACATGGCTTCCTTGTGGCGCATAGACCAGTTAGCATCTGCAGTCCACCCAGCTGATTGCTTGTAGATTAGGATTTTGTGGTGGTAGGAAGTCAAAATTGTGGTAGGCCAGCAGCCTGCACTTTTTCTTTTTTTTTTTTTGGTCTTTTTGAGACAAGGTCTTCCTGTGCAGTTCAGGCTGGGCTTGAGCTCACTTTGTAGCTCAGGCTGGTCTCCAACTCACAATGATCCTTCTGCCACAGCCTCCCAAGTGCTGGAATTACACGCGTGTGCTACCACACCCGGCCTAGCCTACAGTTTTATTCATTCAGTGAGTCAACAAGCATTTATTGAGTACCCTGAGAACCTGCAATGCTGTTTAAAATACTGAAGTGATGGTAATGACAAAGCCCCCATCTTCTTCCCTGATTACAGAGGCCGTGGGCTGTGAATAAATCCTTCTTTATATGATTGTGTGTGGTGCTCAGTGCTATGAAATAAAGGCTCAGTATGAGGTAGATAGCAGTGGGAGCTCCTACTGAGGTGTGATGCGAAGAGAAGAAATATTTGTTAAAATAAGTATAATAACTGAGTGTGGAGGGGCACACCTACAGTGCTCTGAGAGGCTGAGGCAGGAGGATCACAAGTTTGAGGCCAGCCAGGGCAACTTAGTAACTTAGTCAGACCCTGTGTCAAATTTAAAAGGAAAAAAAAATTTTGAAGGGCTGGTATCCCAGCGCTTGGGAGGCTGAGGCAGGAGGATTACTGCAAGTTCAAGGCCAGCCTGGACTATGTAGTGAGATCCTGTCTCAAATAAATAAATACTTATATACATACATACATGGGCTGGTCATGTAGCTCATGGTGAAGGTCCTGAGTTCAATCCCCAGTATCTTAAAAAATTAAGAGCATATTGAGGAAACATTTTGAAATGTCATCCTTAGCACCCAGGCTGGAGAAGGGAGACAGCAGGGTTGGTTTCTTTTAAAGGCCAATTTTTGATGACTCTGTTCCAAATGTGCGTCTCTCTCGGGGGAGGGAGGCTGCTGGGGCAGTGTGCGGAACTGTCAGGGTTCCCAGCTGGCTAGATTGGCTGATGTAGCAAAACTGGCTATTGCAGCTAAAGTTGAGCCTGCTAAGATCTGAGGGAAAATGTGTATTCTAATATCGGTGAGTGGGTACGATTATGTCTTCATCCCTGTATGCGCGAGCCCATCCTTTCTCTCCCTTCTTCAGTGAGAAATATTTTCTCAGCTGTAGCCCAGCCTTACAGCGTTGGTGTGCAGGCCTGAGACAGGCTGCTAGTTTTTGCTGTTTCTAAATTTGCATATGTGCTGCCACAATTGTACGTCCCAAATTTGACCTAGTTTTACTAATTTGGTTTTCTTCCAATACCTAATTTCCTTAACCTGGATTTGGATCCTTTTAATTTCCCTAACGTATGCATATGTTTGTATGTGTACTTATTGTTCTGACTTCTACTGGAAGGTGAACCTGCCATTTGGTGCTTAAAATGAGGTAAAAGTTGCCGCTGGACGTGCTGGCACACATCTGTAGTCCCAGCACTCTGGGAGGCTGAGGCAGGAGGATTGCAGGTTTGAGCCCAGCCTGAGCAAATTAGCAAGACCCTGTCTAAAAATAAAACAGGGTGGGGTTGTAGCACAGTACAAAAGCCCTGGATTCGGGGGCCTGTAACATCGTACTGGGACGGGGAGAAGGAAACAAGTCTCTCAAAAGCATCTATCTTCAAAAGGATGCCTTAAATGTCCTTTCTTGTTCCCATTTGCCTGAATGGCCTTATAGATAAACCCACTGTTTAGAAAGAAAATGGATGTTAAAACCTGAGGTCTCGGGCCAAGGATATAGCTCAGGGACACAAGTGCCTGCCTAGCAAGTGCAAGGTCCTGAGTTTGATTCCCAGTATAAAAAAAAAACAAACAACAAACCTGGGTGTCACTGACATTAGGGATAGGCACTAACTTTGACACTAAGTTTTTTCAGCAAAAAATGACAAGGTTCCATGACTTAGCTGTTTGGGTCTTTCTTTAATCTTTTAGGTCTTGATGATATTTACCTCCTTGCCCCCCACCCCAGTACTGGGGGTTGAACCCAG